GGTCCAGAAAATGTGTTATTCGGCCGAAGCAATAATACAAAATGAATTCAATATGTCCACCATAACAGTGGCGTCGAAAGCTTCTAGACAGCTACGCAGTTTTTATTTTGTTTTCAGAAGAGAAGAAATCAAAATAAAACTTAAATACTTTACTAAAATACAAATACATACAATATAAATAAAAAAATAAAATTTATTCATAGAATATAATTCTCTATTATCAAGTCTTCCCCTAAAAAAAATGTTCGGAAAAGTACGTCTTCCTTTTCAACGATATCGTAATATTTCCAACCGTTGTACATAATTTTTAAAAATACTTATCCATATTTGCGAGAAAAAATCCTAAAATTCTTAACATTTTTTAATTCTGCGTATATAAATGAAATTTTTTAAGTGCTAAATATCATTTGCTTTTCTGTTGGTAATAAATATAATCTGCTATTCTTTCTTTAAACGTGACAATTTAAAAAAACATCTGTTTCGTATGGAAAAAAAATATTGAATTCAATTAAGTTCGCTTGATCATTAGAAAAAAGACTTCAAAATTCTGTATATAAAAATTAAAAAATATCTTTATAAAATATGTATTTCTACTCATGAATTTTAATTTTCTGCATCATACTTTGTATTGTACATATCTCAATATTATCTCAGCTTTCCCTCTTTGGAACAGAGCTAAAAATGAAATCTTCCAGCAATATTTGCATACACTACTGCATGTGCTACGGTAGCTTCTTCTTCGTTAAATTACTAACCCCTGTGTTTAGGAATATCAATCCGTTATAAAAATCTTTTTCTTATTTTTCTCAATAAAAAAAATGTTCTAATATTTAGTAGTCATGAACAATACTAAATATTAACTGATAATCATTTTTTAACAAATATTTAATTTTCTGAGTAACATCATGACATTTTGGCGGGAATCAGTTGGCGCGTTGTATGGGGAGTGGGAGTGTTTCTGGGGGCAGTAGGCAAATCGGCGTACAGTGCATCGTCTCTGTTGGATGTTGGATCAGTCGCGTTTCGCGTCTCACATTCGCGCAGTGTATTGTATACGAGTCGTTGCTTACGGATCACCTACGAAGTACGGTTCGGATCGCAAAACGCGCGGGATAATACTAAAAGGACATTGAAGAGAAAGAGATCGAGTTGCTCGCATTCAGAGATAAATAGAGGATATTTTGATACATCGGAAAAGGCGTGAGGCCGGTTTTCTCACGTCACGACACGCACGCCGGCTCAACGGTTGCCTTTGTCTCCGTACACACGAGAAATTCGAGGTGAGCGTTTACCAACGTCTTTCTTCGCTGTAAATATTTTCTGTATTCATAGAACCTGTTCATCGATTCGAATGGTATATTGAACATATTTTAGGTGATATTTTCCATAATTTTTGGATAGAACTTTCGGCTTCAACAAACTATTACTTACAGAGATATTTATTCGTTTGCTTACTACATAGATGCCAAATGGGTCGCTGATGGACGCTAACCACAGCTCTGGCATTGCCATGATTTGTCGATTATGGCGTCTTTAACAGCTAACTGATGTTTTCACATTTGGCTTTAACAGCGTTATTCTCTCGCATAATTATTATCGTACAGAAATATTAGAAAAAATACTTATAAAATTATATGGTCGTACGCCTTTATTTGTGATTACTTTCCAAGAAATAGGGTTGATAGAGATATTGGTTAATATTTTTGAAAATGGCGGGCGCGGAAATTTCAGAAAACATTCTTATTTTTACGAATGATCCGAATAAATTATAAACAATATTCTACACGATTCTATTGTTTGATAACGAACAATTCTATTGTTTGCATATACGTTAAAATATAATTTCGTTGCTGAATGAAATTATCTTTGCATAATTATTATGGTTTGATTGACAATTAAATAACCGGCTCCATATATTGAACTATATTAAATACAGATACTTGCTAGGCGTGTAATCTGTTGCACATTATTGAACTGTATATTTTCGATAACTTTTTACAAATTTTCAAAGAACTAAAAATATTTTTTTACCTGTGTTGTCACATTATTATTGAGATATGGACTTAAATGATTTTACAAGTCAGTTGGAAGATCGATGACCACGCGATATTTTGGGAGTTTTTATTTACACGAATGAATTTTCTGTGTCTTAAAAATATATATAATCGTGTTGCTTTTATGTTCAGTTTATATAATTTTTTTCATTAATCATTTTGAAGATATCACATAGTTATTCTTAATATTGCGTTCTAAAAAAGAGTTTCCTTTTTGTACAGCGATAAAGAGTAATAAACATGTCAGATGAAAATTCATCTATGGTCGAGGAGCAAAAAAAGAAAAGGGGTAGGCCATCCAAAACAGATAAAAATGCTGTTAAGGAGCCAAAAAAGAGAGGGAGACCAGCATTAGACAAAAATAATGCAATGCGTGCAGCAAAATCTGACAATGAGGACGATGCATCTCCTACTCCCGTTAAAAAGGCTAGAGGACGACCAAAGGGTTCTCACAAAAAGAAGGTATGCACTAATACATATTTTTTCATTACTAATTATTTTTGCTATTGATTTAATATCGTAAAATATTCTGTAAATTTTAGCAGGGATCACCAAAAGTCCCCTCAGGAAGAGGTCGTGGAAGGCCGAAAAAAAAAGAGGAAAAACCAGAAAGTACTGGTGAAGAAGAAGACGAACAAGAAGAAGAAGAAGAAGAAGAAGAAGAAAATTGAATATAAAATAACAATTTCAGTGTATCAGTCTTATTCTTTGAATGTTTTTCAAGAAACTGATAAATTTAAAGTTTTTATGTTTGCTTTTTTACATCATAATCTGCAAAATGGAATAGTAAGAAAAATAGTTTAATTTATGGCAATTAGATTTTTGGAAAATGAAAAAACTGCACATAAAACTTGCGTTAAGAATATGTTTAAGCTTTCTTTTTTTTTTAATATTTGAATTTGTCCATCTTATTATCATATTTTAAGCATTAAAACGTAAAAAGAGCTCGAGCCTTTTGAATCTCATAAACTAACTTATAATTAGTGAAAAAATAAATTGTTTATATTACATGACAAAATATTTATGTCTTTATTCGTGTATTATAATTTTTAAAACTAAAATTTTTTGACAGTCATAATATTGTAAGAATTGAAACAGAGTGAAACATTTCGGGTATATCGTAGACAAAAATTCAATTAAACTTGAGCATAAGAACATTAACATTGTTCTTGAGGCAAGCATACGTGTGAATGTCAAATTTGTATTGAAGTAAATAAACTTGTAGAGTGAC